AGAGAGAGAGAGAGAGAGAGAGAGAGAGAGAGAGAGAGAGAGAGAGAGAGAGAGAGAGAGAGAGAGAGAGAGAGAGAGAGAAGATTGGTTTACCACGTAACTGCGTTGAAGACATCGCAACGACGAGAGAGAGATGAGCGGTACAAGTTTGGTTGTCACGTACCTGTGAAGAGCGCCGTGCAGCCCAGTGAAGAAGAAGGAGGCGGCCATAGCCGCGAAGCTCGACCACAGAGTGACGAAGGAGGTGAAAGGGAGAACGAAGGGAGAGACCGGGGATAGTGAAGAAACCATAGCTGAAGAAGGTGAAGGGAGAGACGAACGAAAAAAAAAAGAAGAGAGAGAGTGAGAAGACAGTCGGGGTGAAGGAGGGGAGGCAGATACAAGGAAGAAGAAGGGTGGCGAGGAAGGAGAAGCCGTCCACCATATCCGGACCGGGCGTTGATCGGAGTCGACCGGGCGTTGACCAGAGTTGATCGGGCGTTGGCCGGGGGTTGACTGCAGTGTTGACCAAGCATTGACCAAGGYGTTGACCAAGACTGTTGACCTTGACTTTGACCAAGCCGGAGTTGGTATAATCTCGCCAAGCCTTCAGCCTATCCCCTCGCCCTATGGATGTGCACACACCCTGTGGTACTTGCTGAGTCAAGTCTGTCTGTCTCTTCTTTCTGCATTGAGTCTCTTCTGTCCAGGTGATAGGAACTTTGTGGATGAATGACAGGGCCTTGTTGACCAAACCCACACGGGCTGAGTAGGGCCAAAGACTGTGTCTGACGACTTGACTGTCCCGGAGGACACGAACCCTCCCAAGGACCGGTACTGACCGGCGGGCTGCTCGGTGTGGCACGGTAGGCCGAAAATCCGAGCTGTGGGCTGCAGAACAGGCAGTCTAAGTCTTGAGAGGACCTGCTGGTCGCGTCGTCCTGTCTGCAACATTAAATAATTCTTGAGGAGTTACAGGGGATCTACTTAAATGCCTCCTGATCAGCAACAGGTCCTGTAGTCACAGCCTTAGAGTAGTTCTAGGCTAGAGACCCTAGTTGACAGGATCCTGTCCGGATTCTGTAAGTCCTTAGATTGAGTCAGTAGGTTGTGTCAGTTAGAGGATAGGTCTAAGTGGTGAGGAGTGGGACAGTCTCTGTCGTGCACCTAACACCATGGACGATTACCCTATGTACGGTTTGCTCGTGGGGTTCTCCCTGTCGGGGACCTCTGGCGTCTCCTCTTCCCTCTGCGATTCCGGAACACCTTTACGTGTAGAGTAGACACGAGGGGTGGCACTACTACCAAGGCTTACACCCAGGAGCAGGAGGAGGAAGTTGCGAGGATCTTGGTCGAACGAAAGGGCAAGAAAGAGAAGAAGGAGCTCCTGAAGCAGGCAAAGTTAAAGGCGATAGCGGAGGAGCAGGCGGCGAAGAAGAAGAAGATAGAAGAGGTGAGGATGAGATTACAGACGGAGAAGATGAAGAGGTTGCAGCAGGATGAGCTCTACTGAAGAAGAGGCGGCAGCAGAGGAGGAGGAAGTAGAAGAGGAACCTCTTGAAATGGGGCGTGGATGAGACAGAGGAGAGACAAGTGGCACGAAGGGAGAGGACGCCTGGATGGAGAAAAAGATCAGCGAGTGGGTGGCTAATTTATCGTTGGGAGAGGATAAAGAGGCACTGTTGTATGTGCCCCAAGAGGAGAGAGAACGATTCGCCAAGGAATTGGAGGCGATAGAAGACCCCCTGGAACGTCAAACTACAAGGATGAAAAGAAGTTGGAATGGAAGTTACGAATGATGAGGGAGAAGAAGAGAAGGAGGGAGGAAACAAACCGGGTGGCGAGAGAAGTAGAGAAAGTCCGGGCCTGCAGACAGGAGGTGCAGGCACAAGCAGAGGTCCCCGCAAAATTAGACAAGATTCTGGGGTACCTCGAGGTGCTGAGCGAGGCCTGGCTGGAGGAGCATCAGGCCAACAAGGGTCAAGATGTGACCCTTCATGCCATCCGATCCGGTTTAAGAGAGTTTGCGCGCGACGTGGTAACCCACGTCGGGACCGAAGTCAAAAAGCTAAAGGAAGGCGCAGAGAAGTTCTGTGTCGGCGCCATTGAGGGTGCCAAAGTAGTGGCCACAGTAGAGGCCGAGTCGTGTCCCCGCAAAGAGCATGTAAAGCTAAACTTTCCTGATTCCTACAGTGGGAAAAAGGACGCTAATTTCGATAAATGGGAGGCTAGCATCAACACATATGTGTATTGAAGCATATCGCCCCCGAGGAACAAGTCCTCGTGGCCTTCCATGCGTTGAAGGACGAAGCGGCCAGCTTCGCCAGGTCCCTTGTGCGCGCTGCTGATTGCGAGCACAACATGATTGCTTACTCTAGACTTACCCCTCGCTCCACTTTCCTCAAACTCTTGCGTGAGAGGTTCGCTGACGTCACGAGAGGCGTCAGGGCCTCTAATAAACTCCAAACAATCCACTCGCGCCAGTGGAGGAGTGCGCGAGCACTCAAAGCTGTCATGGACGACTTGGTAGTCGTCCCGGACCATGGGGTCACTGAGACCCAGTTGGTCCAGTTCTTCTATCGTGCCATGCCAGAGCCCTTGCAAGGGCATTTCTTTGACAAGACCCAACAGCCCAACATTACGTATGACGCGTTGAGTAGGGAGGTGGTCTTGTACGAGGCGAGATCCATGCCAGTTACCACTTTCTGGCATAAGGACTTAGATAAGGGAAAGAAGTGGAAAGGTCGTACCATCTCTGGCCAAGTTAGGGCAAAGGATCATTTGATCCTCACTTTAGATGAAGGTGGTACATACAAGGTCCCCTACAGTCAGATTGAGTGGGGACTCGAGGAGGAGGACAATAATATAGGTCAGGGGAGGTCCTATGCTGCTGTCGCGGCTGGAGGGAGGCCACAAAGTACAGGAGGAGGCCATGGCCAAAGGGGCCAGGCCATGGGAGGCCGAGGATCGGGCGCACAAAGGGTTGGCAGTCAAGGGAACCGTCAAGTGGGAGGTAGGGGTTAAGGTCCCCCGCCGAATCGTCAAGGTCCCAATCGGTCCCCACAACGACGAGGAGGTAGTTCACCTCAAAGGTCAGGAGGTTGGCACCCAGGTTGGCCACAAAGCCGGCCTTGGGAAGATCTGGGTCTGGACCAGAAAGTGTGGCAACGGCGCATGGAGCAGGGGCAGTGCATTTACTACGGTGACCCCGCCCATATTATCAAACATTGTCCTAAGTATAGACAGGCCCGATGGGCTGCCCAGGAGTCAAAAGGCAGCCGCCGGTAGGGGTCGCAACTGCCCATACTATTAGGCCATGTGGGGAAGCAAGCGCGCACGTATAGGAAACTCCCACACCATATGTGCCTTCGGCAGAGGTTGCAGGCCTGTGCCTAGTTAGCTGTCCAGAGACTGCTTGTGTTAGCGTCTCTTTAGGCACTTCGCTCGCAGGCGTCGCAGGAGAGTTGAAGGAGAGGATGCCAGCCTGGGCCAAAATGAAGAAAGATAGTAAAGGACAGCTAGTGTTAGTTGATGTAGAAGTCTTCAGGAGTAGAGTAGGGGCCCTTGTAGACTCAGGGGCTACCCGCAGTTATATTGGCCGGAGAGCGTTGAAGAAGCTGAGGCTAGGATTGAAAGTCCAAAAGTTGGAAGACCCCATAGTTAGTGTCCTCGCAGACAATCGCACTATGCGTGTTAAGGACTACGTAGAGGGAGTCCAGGCGTATTTCCGCCTAGAGAAAGATGGGAAGGTGGAGAAAGTTCTCCATTCCCTGACTTTGCTCGTACAAGATGACCTTCCTTTCGACATAGTCCTAGGTATGGACTGGGGCGAGGCAGAAGGGGCCACACTCCACTTAAGAGAGCACGAGTGTAGGCTCCCTAGTCCGTCAGGCGAGGTAAAGACTGCCCGCCTGTTTCATGTGTCTGGAGTAAATAACTCCTTGGCACATTGTTGTCTCAGTGCTCCCGCATTGCGCGACTAGTGAGAAAGGAGCAGTTAGAGGACCAGGTCTTTGTAGTGTATGCCAGACCTGTCACTGAGCCTAAGGAAGAGGATAGTTCCATGGATCCAGCCATTGCCAAGCTGCTGGAAGAGTTTAAAGATTTGACAAAGCCGCCGACAGGAGTAGTGCCGCGGCCGATCCAGCCCAGAATAGAGATAGAGCCTGGCAGTAAGACTCCTAAGGGAGCAGTCTACAGGATGTCCCCTAGAGAGTTAGAGGAGTTGCGCAAGCAGTTAGACGAGCTCCTTGAGAAAGGTTGGATTAGGCCCAGTTCGTCTACTTTTGGAGCACCAGTTTTGTTTGTCCCCAAGAAGGAAGAAGAGCTACGTATGTGTATAGACTATAGGGGTCTGAATGCTATCACGGTTAAGAATGTTCAACCGCTGCCCAGGATAGACAATCTCTTAGATCGGGTGCAGGGTTGCAAGTATTTTTCAAAGATAGACTTAAAGTCCGGGTATCATCAAATAGAGGTCCATCCTGATGACCAATACAAGACTGCTTTCCGGACTAGATATGAGCATTATGAGTTCATGGTGATGCCCTTTGGACTGACCAATGCGCCAGCTACATTTCATCCACGTATGAATGATCTGTTTAGGCCTTGGTTAGATAGATTCGGTGTAGTTTACTTAGACGATATTTTAGTGTTCGGTAGGACCCTCCAAAAGCACCAGGGTCATTTGAGGCAGGTCTTGGAGAAGCTAAGAGATGCTAACCTCAAGATTAACGCAAAGAAGTGCGAGTGGGCCAAGACACAAGTTTTGTACTTGGGCCACGTGTTAGACGGAGATGGCATTAAGCCTGAGGACAGCAAGATAGCCAACTACTATAGGAAGTTCGTGAGGAACTTCTCGACTATCGCCGCTCCCCTTCGCAGGTTGCTTAAGAAAGAGGCAATCTGTCAATGGGATAAGGACTGTACGTCTGCGCTAAAGAAATTAAAGCGCGCATTGATAGAGTATCCTGTTCTCAAGGTAGCAGATCCGTCTTTGCCATTTGTCATCACCACGGACGCGAGTCAATATGGGATAGGCACTGTGTTACAACAGGACGACAATGGCTACAGACCCGTAGAGTTCATGTCCGCGAGGATGCCCTCAGAGAAGGTTGCTACCTCGACGTATGAGAGGGAACTCTACGCTCTCAAGCAGGCCTTAGAGCACTGGAAGCATTACCTGCTTGGGAGGAACTTCAAGGTGTATTCAGACCATGAGACGCTTAGATGGTTGAAGACACAGGCCAAAATGACACCTAAGTTGACTAGGTGGGCCCCTAAGATAGACCAGTACGACTTTGAGCTCAAGCCACTTAAGGGCAAGTATAATGTAGTTGCGGATGCTCTGAGTAGGAGATCGGACTACTTCGGAGCTATAGTTTACTATCTGGACATAGGGAGTGACCTGTAGGAGAAAGTTAGACAGGCGTATGTGCAGGACCCTATCTATAGCAACCTCATCAAGAGAGTCAAGGACGCCCCAGAGACCGAGCCAGATTACCGCACTACAGAGACCAATGTAGTAGACCGTTTGTGCATTCCTAACATTGAGGAGATCCGTAGTCTGATCCTAGGGGAATGCCACGACACAGAGGGACACTTCGGTTGGCAAAAGACTCTAGCCAATCTAATGCACGTGTATACATGGCCAGAAATGAAGAACGACTGCATAGAGTATGTCCGCAGTTGTAAAGTCTGTCCGAGAAACAAAAGCACTACGCGTGCCCCTCTAGGTCTTCTTAGACCCTTACCTATTCCTGACCAGCCCGGAGACTCGGTGTCCATTGACTTTATGGATACCCAGGTCAAGAGTAGGCACGGCAAGAGCCAAGTCATAGTCATAGTTGACAAATTTAGCAAGTATGCAGTTTTTGTTCCTTTGCCTGTAGAGGCTCGTACTGAGTTAGTGATTCATAAGTTTTTTGACTTTTGGGTTAGTGAGCATGGAGTCCCTTTGTCTATAGTTAGCGATAGAGATAGTCGCTTCACTAGCCAGAATTGGCAGGAACTGATGAAAGTCTATGGGTCCAAGCTGTTGATGTCGCCTGGCCGTCATCCAAAGACTAACAATCAGACTGAGCAGATGAACAAGATCCTGCAGCAAGTTCAGCGTATAGACATTAGACCCGATCAGATTAACTGGGACGAGATGTTACCCAAGGTAGCCATTGCGTACAATAACAGCGTGCACTTGTCCACCTGTCTCACTCCCAACGAGTTGCACAAGTCCTTTAGACCGCGCAGACCTTTGAGGGACTTAACCGGGATCAGATTCACAGGCTACCGCCCGGTACTAGGGAGTTCGCAATACAGCATGAAAGGGAGATAGCCACTGTTGTTGAGAACCTCAGGAAGGCTCAGCACCGGATGATAAAACAGGCTAATAAGCACCGGATGATAGAACAGGCTAATAAGCACCGTCGCCCGTCACAGTTCCAAGTAGGCGACTTAGTCTGGGTCAAGTCCAAAGAGTTTGCTCTGAGGAAAACATCTCGCAGAAGTTACTGCCCGCGTATAGAGGACTGTGGCCAGTTCTAGAAGTTAAGGGCGGAGAGGATGGACCGTCCTACACCATAGAGATCCCAGCACACCTCCATACCTACCCTGTATTTCATGCATCAAAGTTGCTGCCGTGTGTCACGAGTCAACAGTTTCCATCTAGGAGATCCATGATCCCCCCAGACATGGATGGAAGATACGACATTGACGGCATTGTAGGTGAAGACGTGTTCAGAATAGGAGGTAGAGGCCGTCCGCAGAAGCAGTATAAGGTCCGCAGAAGCAGAGGACGACCGCTGGTTTACTAGAGCAGAACTTCTAGAAACAGCTCCCGGCATAGTTAGAGCCTACGAGAGAGAAAAGAAAGGTAAAGGTCCTGCTTTGGACTTAGTTATTCTCGGAGAACCTCTAATTTAGGCCGGCGGGACTGAAACGGTATTCACCAGCTCGCAGTAGCCGATGCAGATCCCAGGGTCGATACCTAGCCCCCACCTTACCGGTGTACAGTATTTGTGTCCACCCCGAGAGTTGAACCCGTGACCTGTGTATTTGTAACAGTGTGTAGACTGTCGTAGGGTCCGTAGGCAGCACGGGTTCGATCTGTAGACCTGCCGAGTAGGAGTCTTAGCCAGGTCTAGATGTCATCGCTGTAGCTGTTCCGAAAGGTCAAGGTCGTAGCTGCTACAGTCCAGAAAGGTCAAGGTCGTAGCTGCTACAGTATCGAAAGGCCAAGTCTACGGCCTTCCGGAAGGTTCGAGTAGTGGCCTTTCGAAGTTGCCCATGTTTAGGCCGAGACAAGTGGGCAAGTGTTGGAGTCTACCCGTGCTGAGTCAGCAGCCCCATTCCCAGTCAGTCCTAGTCCAGTCAAGCAAGTACCGCATGGGACTGTGTGCACTACAGGCATGAGAAAGGGCCAGACCAACGAGCAGCAGAAGTATAAATCAAGAGGCCCAGCCATTCATTCATTCCTGCGTGAGCCATGCGGAAGCGCTGCCACAGCGACTTGTGCTAGGTGGTCTGCAGTGAGCCCGAAGACTAAGTGGGCGAGAGAGGAGCGTAGCCATAGCGATAGGGTAGCAGCGGCCATAGCCGCCATAGCTGTAGATAGCGTGCAGTGTGTGTGTATGTGTGTGGACAGAGTATCCTGTGTGGGATATCCAGGGTGATCCTGTGTGTGTGAACAGAGAGTTGTGTGGGTGCTGAGTTGCCATAGCCATTGAAGTGAACTTGTACTTGAACTGTGTTCTCGGCTACCATATCTTTGAGTTTTGAGTGGGCGCTGGTCACCAGTTTGCTGCACACCTGTTTGCCTGCATGTAAAGTGTGAAAGATAACGAGTCTGATTGCAAAAGGGAGTGGAGGGGAGGGTGGAGGGTAAGGGATAGAAAGCGGAGTTCTCTAGGAGTATGGGGCAGGGGGAGGTAGGGGCAACGGGAAGGAAAGAAATATGTGGAGGGCAGGATAGAGTGACATGCAAGAGCAGGGGAAAGGTGTATTTCTATTAAAAAAAAAAAAAACTTATGGCGAGTGGCGACCCCTACATACCGGACAGGACCGGTTCGGGTGTGGGCTATGGAAGCACCGCATCCAATTTTTGCAGTCACAGTTGCTGCATTGAATGGCACGGCGCAGACAGATGTCACAGGCTACGTGGCTCGTACATCCTAGGAACACAGAGGCACGCCAACCGCAATTATAGAGGCATTGCCGTTCCAGCCCCTGTCTACAAAGTGTGTGTGTGTGTGTGTGTGTGTGTGTGTGTGTGTGTGTGTGTGTGTGTGTGTGTGTGTGTGTGTGTTTTAGATTTTCCCCACAACAGCCCCAATTCCACCCATGTGAATAGATTCAGAATCAAAGCAGTCTTTGTCATATTGCAGACAACGATAGCATTTGAGATGTCCAACATATTAAAGCAATTTTTTAATTAGACAGTTGTTTGGTAGTCCGTGGGGTACCCCTTTCATTGTTCTTGCAGCTCCCCTTTTACTGTGCCTCTTACGCACAAGGCTGCCCGCGTTGATTGTGGTTGAGCGGCAGCTGCCCACATCCCCGTGTGCCTTCACGGCCCACTTGCACTTTATTTCAGGAGGCAGAGTAAAAGGGAAGGTGTGCTCCTGTGCATCTCTTCAGAGCTTCATACTCCTGTTCATTTCACTTCAGATCTTCAGCTTATACAGTCTCATGTCCGTCCTTCATCTTCATACATTCCATTTCTGATCTTCATATCGTCTATTCTCTTAATGATGCTCATTCGTATGTTTCTGTTAGTGTGTATGTGTGTGTGTGTAAACTGTCACTGCCACCCCTTTTCCACCATGACGAGTAGATCCAAAATTGAAACAGCTTTACCTTAGAATCTTCTATAGCACAGAACATGAGTAGATCCAAAATTGTAACCGCTTTACCTTAGAATCTTCTATGCAAGACAACATGATGCACACTGCAACTGTTGTATTACCTTTCGCTTGTGCAGTTCTTTGGCCCGGCTGGGTCTGGATGTCCAGATTGGGGCCCACACGGCCCCACAGAAAAAAGAAGGGGGTCAGCGATCCGGATTCATTAGGTGTTCAGGGATGAAAAGGCAACACTATGAACCCTTCAGATGTTGATTCTCTGAAGATTTGACAGTTGAAAGTTCAAAAAGCAATCCCACGTGGCATTTTCTACATCGTTGATTGGAAAACTAATTGAGGGTACTATCTTCAGACAGGGGGGCATCTCATTTCAATCGGGCTCTGTATTCACCCTTCAGATATCAAGTCTCAAAAGATTTTGCCATTGAAAATTCAAAAGTAATCCCACACGCTACCCCGTGCAAGGAACACGAGCGAGAGCGATAGACAGAATTCCAAACTGCAAAATCACGCTGTAGACCAGATAGTTGTGTACCAAGCAGAAAGCACAATGCACCGAGTTATCAGCCAAATAAGATCAATACAATGAACTCAAATGTCAATGTCAACACTCTCTTGTCACACCAACATAGTATCCAATGTCTCTCTTCTCGATTCGTGCTCAGCGTCGAGCCTATCTACTCAGCACCTATACTAGCCTACACTACGTTCATGCAAAGGAATCACTTCGATGCCGAAGACCAAAGTACGTGACAACGTCGCCAATGCAGACTGTCAGCATACACCAGGTACATGTCTCTCTCTCCTCTCACATCACCCCTTGACTTCCCACAGTGTGTATACCCGACACCCAACGACCACCATCACCATCACCAGCCTCTGCTGAGCAAGCCCGGCCATGGCCGCTCAGCGCCTGCTGCACCAACAGCACCCAACACCACGGTGCGCCCGTATGCGCCTCTTCCAGCCCTTGGCCTACCACTGGCCTCCAGCGCTCAAACCAGCAGCGCTGCTGCCAGCAAGCACAACACAGAATCCCCTTGCCTGGGCAGGGCACTTTCCTTTACGGAAAGTGTCGGCCCTGTGTGTGGCTGTGTGGGCCTGGCTGGGCAAGTTTCCAGTAGCTTCCAGTCCGGCCCCTGTGTCTGCGCCCATATACTGGCCTGGGACCCGTGCCGTTATGCACATCCAAGCAGCTCCCCAGGCTCCAAGTGTTTGGAGCGATCTCATTGGTTCGTAGCATGTGTGACGCTGTATCATCTGCTTTCTCATTGGTCCGTGGCCTCTCCCTGATGTGTCGGCCTCTCAGTGTGTGTCCCCAGGACTCAACCACCTGAGCCCTGGGCTCAACTGTACGGCGCAGCTGCTGTTTCTGGAAGGGGCCAGAAGAGCCTCACATTGCTCTGTAACCAACTGGCGTGCTGCACCCGTCTGATACAAAACATATGAGAAATGTCCAAAATAGGCCTCACGTGGATATTCAGGCCCGCCTTCACTTAGGGTGGGCATGAGGCTTGCTGGGGGCTGCAGCCCAGAACTTTGCATGCCCGAGAAGGGCTCCGCGAGGGCTTAATCCTCGCACTCGCATATCCTTGATTTAAAAACTAATTAAGGGGAGTAGCTTCAGACAGTGGCACCCTCTTGTCAATCGGGCTGCATGAGGTCGCAGAGGGTGCAAAGGGGACTATTCACCATTCAGATCATGATTCTCCCAAGATTCACCATGGAAAATTGATAAGTAAAATCTGTATGCTGTCATGGACGGCATGGCAAAATCTTTATCAACAGTAACCCGAGTAATACTCGGGTGAATTGGGCAGTCGAGAACTCTATCGGACGGGAATGTCAAAGCATACAAGGTTAACGAAACAGTTCTGAAAGATTTTTATAGAAGGAAAACTTATCCATGAAAAAGTGGTTCTAATGTATCTCTCAAGCTCAGTGACAACGTGACTGACCTTTCCAAGAATCCACACAGTTTCATCTCTCTCTCTCCTTTACAGTTTTTTTTTCCCACTACACGACATATCTGCACATCAGAATACCCATCCCGACATGTCCAGATGTCCAGTGCATGTCCGGTAATCGAGACATACGGCTGAATGTCTGGATCTGACCAGGTTCGGGTCTGGGTTTAGCATGTAGTCAGCCACCCCTGCAATCAGACTCGTTCTCAAACACACTTTTCATGCATGTAAACAGCAACGCAGCATACTGGCGACATGCGCCCACTCAAAACTCAGAGATATGGCTTTCAGATACGAGTTCACTCTCAATTGGCTATGGCGACTTCAGCGCCCAAACATCTCACTGTTCACATACACTGGATCACCCTGGATATCCCACACGCATCACTCTAACACTCAAACACACACACACACTCACTAGTAACTACAGCTGTGGCAACTATCGCTGCATCTAACCTATCGCTAGACTAACTCCCTCTCTCTTGCCCACTGCGTCCTCCGGGCTCATATGCAGACCTCGCTGTGGCAGCGCTTCCGCATGGCTCACGCAGGAATCAATGAATGGCTGGGCGCTGCCCCTTGATTTATACTTCAGAAACTCGTTGGTCTGCCCTTTGCCATCGGCCCTTGGTGCTCACAGTCCCCCTGTGGTACTTGCTGGACCRGACTGGGACTGACTGGACCTTCCGCTGACTGACTGTGGACTCACCGCTATCCTACCGACGTTGTACTGCTGTTGCACTGCGGTTTAGTCCACCACTTGCCTCGCCACTTGACCACTTGCCCACTTGCCTACCTTCTAGAAGGTCTACAGCTAAGCTTCCGGAACTCACTAAGACTTCTACGCTATAGACCTACAGATCGAACCCCTACTGCCTATGGCCTACGACAGACCTACCAACTATCTGCGAATACACAGGTCACAGGTTCAATTCTCGGGATCTATACAGATACTGTACATAGGTAGGGTAAGGTCTAGGGGTCAAATCCTGGGTACTGCATCCGCTACTGCTAAAAGGTGAAAACCGTTTCACTCCCGAGCGGTTTCTAGAAGTTCTGTTTTCGTGAACCAGCGGTCGTCTTCCGGTTCCTGATAAGCAAAATGGACCTTATATTGTTTCTGGGGACGACCTCTACCTCCTGTTCTGAACACATCCTCATCTACAATGCCTTCAATGTCATAACTTCCATCCATATCCGGGAGGATCATGGATCTTCTCGAAGGGAACTGTTGACTTTTGACACACGGCAGCAGCTTTGAAGCATGAAACACAGGGTATGTGTGGAGGTGTGCTGGAATTTCAATGCTATAGGACGGGCCATCCTCTCCGCCCTTGACTTCTAGAACCGGCCACGGTCCTCTATATGCGGGCAGTAACTTCTGCGAGATGTTTTCCTCAGGTGCAAACTCTTTAGCCTTGACCCAGACTAAGTCGCCTACCTGAAACTGCGACGGGCGGCGGTGCTTATTAGCTTTGCTCTATCATCCTATGCTGGGCCTTCCTGAGGTTTTCAAAAACAGTGGCTAGTTCTTTCTCGTGCTGTATCGCAAACTCCCTGGTACCGGGCGGTAATTTGTGAATCTGATCCCGGTTCAGTCCTTCGAACGGTCTGCGTGGTCGAAAGGACTTGTGCAACTCATTGGGAGTGCGGCAGGTGGATAGATGCACGCTGTTGTTGTATGCACTAGCTACCTTAGGCAAMATCTCATCCYAGTTAATCTGATCTGGTCTAATGTACATGCGCAAAACTTGCTGTAGGATCTTGTTCATCTGTTATGTCTGACCGTTAGTCTCTGGGTGACAGCCAGATGACATTAGCAACTTAGATCCGTAGACTCTCATGAGTTCTTGCCACTTCTGGCTGGTGAAACGACTATCTCTATCACTAACWATTGACAATGGGATTCCATTCTCACTAACCCAAAAGTCAAAAAACTTCTGTATAACTAAGTCCGTACGTGCCTCTGCAGGCAAAGGAACGAAAACTGCATATTTGCTAAAGCGGTCAACTACGACCATGACTTGGCTCTTACCATGTCTACTCTTGACTTGGGTGTCCATGAAGTCTATGGACACRGAGTCTCCCGRCTGATCCGGRATRGGCAAGGGTMTGARAAGACCTAGGGGYGCGCRTGTMGTAGACTTATTCCTMTGGCACACTTTACAACTKCGGACATACTCTATGCAGTCATTCTTCATCCCTGGCCAGGTATACGCACGCATCAGGTTGGCTAATGTCTTTTGCCAACCGAAATGCCCTTCAGTATCGTGGCATTCCCCTAAAATCAAACTGCGGATCTCTTCGCTGTTGGGAACGCACAGGCGGTCAAACACATTAGCCTTCTCAAACAGCAACCCGTCTGTAGTGCGGCAGTCTGGTTTAGTCTCTGGGGCCTCTCTAACTCTCTTTAGGAGGTCGCTATAGATAGGGTCCTGCGCATATGCTTGCCTCACTTTCTCCTGCAGGCCTCTCCCTATATCCAGATAGTGTACTACGGCTCCAAAGTAGTCTGATCTCCTACTCAGAGCATCCGCAACTACGTTGTATTTGCCCTTCACTGGCTTGAGCTCAAAGTCGAATTGGTCTATCTCTGCGGCCCACCTAGTCAACTTAGGTGTCATCTTGGCCTGTGTCTTTAACCAACGAAGTGTCTCGTGGTCAGAATACACTTTGAAGTGTATTCTGGCGGATAGTGCTTCCAATGGTCTAAAGCCTGCCTGAGAGCATAGAGTTCTCTCTCGTACGTGGAGGTAGCGACCTTCTCACAGGGCATCCTCGCTGACATGAACTCTATGGGTCTATAGCCATTGTCGTCGTCTTGCTGCAACACGGCGCCTATCCCGTACTGACTTGCATCCGTGGTAACGACAATGGCAAGGACGGATCTGCTACTTTGAGGATAGGATATTCTATTAATGCGCGCTTTAACTTCTTGAGCGCAGACGTACAGTCTTTGTCCCATTGCCAGATTGCCTCTTTCTTTAGCAGTATGCGCAAGGGGGCGGCGATAGTGGAGAAGTTCCTCACAAACTTCCTATCGTAGTTAGCTAAGCCTAGGAACGATCGCAACTCTGTCAATGTGCGGGGCGTCGGCCAGTCTCTAATCGCCGCTATCTTGCTGTCCTCTGGCTTAATGCCATCTCCGTCCAACACGTGGCCCAAGTACCAAACTTGTGTCTTGGCCCACTCACACTTCTTTGCATTGATCTTGAAGTTAGCCTCTCGTAGCTTCTCCAAGACCTGCCTCAGATGACCCTGGTGCTCATGGAGGGTCTTACTAAAAACTAGGATATCATCTAGATAGACTACTACAAACTTATCTAATCACGGTCTAAACAGGTCGTTCATACAACGCTGGAAGGTAGTTGGCGCGTTGGTTAGTCCAAAGGGCATCACTATGAACTCATAGTGCCCGTATCTAGTCCGAAACGCAGTCTTGTACTGGTCATCAGGATGGACTTCTATCTGATGGTATCCGGACTTCAAGTCTATTTTGGAGAAATACCTGCAACCATGTACCCGATCTAAAAGATCGTCTATCTTGGGCAGTGGCTCAGCATTCTTTACAGTAATCGCATTCAAACCCCTATAGTCTATACACATTCTTAGCTCTCCTTCCTTCTTGGGGACAAACAAAACGGGTGCTCCAAAAGGAGACGAACTGGGCCTGATCCAACCTTTCTCTAGGAGCTCATCTAACTGCTTGCGACGCTCCTCTAACTCCCTGGGGGACATTCTGTAGACTGCACCCTTAGGAGTTCTACTGTCGGGCTCTATCTCTATCCTGTGCTGGATGGGTCGCGACACTACTCCTGTCGGCGACTCAGTCAAGTCTTTGAATTCTTCCAGCATCTTGGCTATGGTTGGATCTGTGGAACTTATCTCTTCCTTGCCCTCGGTGACAGGTCTAACATACACTACAAAGACCTGTTCCTCTAACTGCTCCTTTTTGACTAATCGCGCGAACGCGGGAGCACTGAGACAGCAATGTGCCAAGGTGTTATCTACACCAGACACATGGAACAAGCGGGCAGTCTTAACCTCGCCTGACRGACTAGGGAGCCTACAYTCATGCTCTCTCAAATGAAGTGTRRCCCCTGCTGCCTCTCCCCAATCCATTCCTAACACTATATCGAAAGGAAGGTCATCCTGTACGAGGAGAGTCAGGGAATGGAGAACTTTCTCCACCTTCCCATCTTTCTCTAGGCGAAAATACGCCTGGACTCCCTCTACATAGTCCTCAACTCGCATCGTGCGGTTGTCTGCGAGGACACTGACTATGGGGTCTGCCAATTTCTGGACTTTTAATCCTAGCTTCAGCTTCTTCAGCGCCCTACGGCTAATATAACTGCGGGTGGCCTCTGAGTCTATGAGGGCCCCTACTCTGCTTCTAAAAACTTCTACATCTACCAAGATCAACTGTCCTTTACTCTCTTTCTTCATCTTGGCCCAGGCTGGCATTCTCTCCTTCAACGCTGCTGCCACACCTGTGAGGGACGTGCCTAAAGAGACGCTAACACAGGCGGTCTCTGGACAGCTAGCTAGGCACAAGCCTGCAACCTCTGCCATAGGTTCATGTGGGTTGGGAGTGTCCTGTTCGCGCGCGCTCACTTCTCCACATGACCTTGAAGTAGGGGCAGTTGCCACCCCTACTGGCGGCTGCCTTTTGACTGTTGGGCAGCCCAACGGGCCTGTCTATACTTAGGACAATATTTAATTACGTGCGCCGAGTCACCACAAAAAACGCACTGAACCATGTTCACGTGTTCCTGCCATAATCGTTGGTCCAAGCCCAAGTCTTCCCAGGGCCTGCCCTGTGGCAAGCCTGGGTGCCATCCTCCTTGAGGTGCTCTTCCACCTCCTTGCTGTGGGGACCGATTACCCTGGCAATTTAATGGGAAACCTTGACCCCTACCTCCCGCTTGGCGGTTTCCTTGGCCGCGAACCCCCCTGCGCGCCCGGTCCTCGGCCTCCCATGGCCTGGCCCCTTTGGCCCTAGCCTCCTCCTCTACCTTGCGGCCTCCCTCCAGCCGCGACAACAGCATAGGACCTCCCTTGCCCCACACTACTGCCATCATCCTCGAGGCCCCACTCGATCTGACTATACGGAACCTCGTCTGTACCACCTTCCTCTAAGGTAAGGATCATATGATCCTTGGCCTTGACTTGGCCAGAGATGGTACGCCCTTTCCATCCCTATCCCTTCTCCAAGTCTTTGTGCCAGAAGGTGGTAACTGGCATAGACTTTGACTCATATAGGACGACTTCCCTACTGAATGCATCATATGTGATGCCGGCCTGTTGAGATTTGTCAAAGAAATGCCCGCGCAAGGCCTCTGGTATGGCACGATAAAACAATTGGGCCAACTGGGTCTCAGTGACCCCATGGTCCGGGATGGCCACTAAGTCGTCCATGGTACCCTTGAGGGCCCTGGCACTCCTCCACTGTCGTGAGTGGATCGTTTGCAGCTTGTCAGAGGCTCTAATGCCTCGCATTGGGTCAGCGAAACGCTCCTTGAGGAGCTTGAGGAATTGGGAAAGAGGGGTGACTTTGGAATATGCAACCAGGTTGTTTTCACAACCAGCTATACGCGCAAAAGACCTGGCGAAACTAGCCGCTTCATCTTTGAGGGCCTGGAAGGCCACGAGGACTTGTTCCTCAATCAGAATGTGTTGTAGATAAATATAACTATTGACACTGGTTTCCCAGTTGCCAAAGTTTTCTTCCTTCTTTCCCCCGTACGCATCTGGGAACTTCAGTTTCACTGGGTCCTTACGAGGTCTGGGCTCTCCCTCTACAGCGGCTACAGCTTTGGCACCCTGAATGGCGCCCTCACAAAACTTCCCTACATTGTCTCTCAATTGCTTGACTTCGCCCCCAATATGGGTGACGATCTCGCGCGCAAAGTCTCTAAACCCTGACCGCATGGCACTTAAGGCTACATCTTGGCTCCAGCTAGCCTGGCGCTCTTCCATCCAGGCCTTGCTCAACACTTCCAGGTACCCCAGTACCTTGTCCCACTTGGCCTTATCATCCGGYTGGGCCAACACCTCCTRCCTGCACGCTTGCACCTTCGCTACCTYTGCAGTCATTTTACTCACTTCCTCTCTCCTCCTCTTCTTCTCYCGCTTCATCCTCAACTTCCATGCCARTTTCTGCTCCTCCTCCCTTTCTCGCCTTTCCATAGGATCTGTCATTGTTGCTAGCTCACTGGCTAGCGCAGCCCTCTCATCCTCAGTCACATAGGACTCTGCCTCCTCCTCTTCACCCAACGATAAATTAGCGACCCTCTTCATCGTGCCACCACTGCTTCCTTCGCCACTCTCAATCCTCAGTCTCTCTTTCTCTTCTTATACCACCGCTTCGGCTTCGGCAACTTTTCTTCTTTCTTCCTCCTCTTGTCGTACTCTTTTCATCTCCTCCTCCAATCTCTTCATCTTCGCCGCCTGCTCGTCTGCGATAGCCTTTAGCTTCGCTTGCTTCTCACGCTCTTTTCTCTCCCTGTTCTCTTGGACTAAGGCGGCCATCTTTTCTTGCTGCTCCTTACTATAGGGGCTAGTCTCTAACCCACTACGGGTCCCAACCATGGTGATAAGTGTACAACCGGGTTAATGGTTCCAGACCTCACCACGTAGACTCTGACCCCTGACTGACAAGCCTATAGACTCAATCTAAGACTTACAGAATCCTGACAAGGACCCTGTCAACTATGGTCTCTAGCCTAGACCTATGCTATGGCTGTCACTACTGAACCAGTGGCTGATCAGGAGGCATTTAAGGAGATCCCCCGTAACTCCTCAAGAATTATTTAACGTCTCATACAGGACGACATGATCAGCTTGGTTCCGCCTGTGCTTTCAGCCCACAACTCAGCCTTTCCGGCCTACTGTGCCACACTGAGCAGCCCGTCGGTCCGTACCGGTCCTTGGGAGGGTTCGTATCCCCCGGGTCAGTCGAGTCGTCAGACACAGATCATCAGCCTTACTTGGTCTGGTAGGGGAGTGGTTCAAACAGGCCCTCAACACTTAAAGACTGCCTGGTGTGTCAGCCCTAACTGTCGTTCAGGCCCACTGAGTCCTACCAACCGTTTCCAGCCGGTCAGCACCGGTCCTTGGGAGGGTTATGCCCCCCTAGAAAGTTGGATCAGCCACAGTCTCAACCCTACAAGGTCAGACTAGGGTTTCGTCATCCAAGCCCCATCTTTCATCCACAGAGTACTATGACCTAAGACAGAAGAGACTCAATGTAGAAAGATAGACAGACTGACTTGACTCAGCAAGTACCAAGGGGTGTGTGCACATCCACAGGGCAAGGGATAGGCTGAAGGCTTGGCGAGATGTTACCAACTCCAGCTTGGTCAAAGTCTTGGTCAACGCCTTGGTCAACGCCGATCAACGCTGCTATGACCCTTGGTCCACCCTCGGTCAACTCCGGTCAACGCCGTCAACGCCTCTGGTCAACCCTTTCGGTCAACCTCCCGGTCAGCTATGGCTGCCGGGTCTCCTTCCTCGCCAACCTTCTTCTTCTTCACCTCCCTCGCCTCCTTTCACCCCGCT